ATCAGATAACAATGAAAGAGGAATTTTAAAACCAATCTGATCATACTTCATCTGCAGAATTGAATTTTATGAATTTCTTACTGTTATAATGTTTTCTCATCAAAGACATACAAGGGACAGTAGCCTATATTGTGCCATTTACACTTTAATGTCATCTGGTTTTCAAAAAGTGCCTTGTTTCAACCAATCCAAACCTAAAGGTCTCCCATACTCATACACACACATCACAAAATTGCTAAAATGATAATAGTAATAGTTGTAGATGTTGGGGGGTTTTCAGATTCTAGATTGTGATGATGTTGTACTCTCAGACCGATTTCCATATTAAAAACATTGTACTTTGTCATGAAATTTCCAAAAGGTTTATTCACAAATCTTTAATGTAATCTTTCCTATCTGTGACTAAACCCATGAACAGTGGTGTAGTGGGGATTTTTTAAGTGGGGGTACGCGATTCATGACATCAACGTCCCCCTTATCCTCCTTCACCCCAAAAGCCATATACTCAACTCGAAATGCTGAAATACAGAGGTGTCATATAGACTGTAGATAAATTGTATAGAAGGAAAAAACATCCTCACTTTCAGTACAAACATAAAGGCACCAGCCCAGTAAATATCTGTAATATTTGTAAATATTACATTGTATGTTTTTTTTTTAACTCAAAATTATTCGGAATCATATTATTAATATTAACATTAACCAGGACTACACCGGGTCTAAACCAGGTCTAAACCAGGTCTAAATCAGGTCTAAACCAGGTCTAAACCAGAGCTAAACCAGATCTAAACCAGATCTAAACCAGGTCTAAACCAGGTCTAAACCACAACTAAACCAGGACTAAACCAGATCTAAACCAGGTCTAAACCAGGACTGAACCAGGACTAAACCAGATTTAAACCAGGACTAAACCAGATCTAAACCAGGACTAAACCAGATCTAAACCAGGACTAAACCAGATCTAAACCAGGTCTAAACCAGGTCTAAACCAGATCTAAACCAGGTCTAAACCAGGACTAAACCAGATCTAAACCAGGTCTAAACCAGATCTAAACCAGATCTAAACCAGGTCTAAACCAGGTCTAAACCAGATCTAAACCAGGACTAAACCAGATCTAAACCAGGACTAAACCAGATCTAAACCAGGTCTAAACCAGGTCTAAACCAGGTCTAAACCAGATCTAAACCAGATCTAAACCAGATCTAAACCAGAACTAAACCAGGACTAAACCAGATCTAAACCAGATCTAAACCAGGACTAAACCAGGTCTAAACCAGATCTAAACCAGGTCTAAACCAGGTCTAAACCAGATCTAAACCAGGACTAAACCAGATCTAAACCAGGTCTAAACCAGGACTAAACCAGGACTAAACCAGATCTAAACCAGGTCTAAACCAGGACTAAACCAGATCTAAACCAGGATCTAAACCAGTCTAAACCAGGTCTAAACCAGGTCTAAACCAGATCTAAACCAGGTCTAAACCAGGTCTAAACCAGATCTAAACCAGGTCTAAACCAGATCTAAACCAGATCTAAACCAGGTCTAAACCAGGTCTAAACCAGATCTAAACCAGGACTAAACCAGATCTAAACCAGATCTAAACCAGATCTAAACCAGGTCTAAACCAGGTCTAAACCAGATCTAAACCAGATCTAAACCAGGTCTAAACCAGATCTAAACCAGGTCTAAACCAGGTCTAAACCAGATCTAAACCAGATCTAAACCAGGTCTAAACCAGGTCTAAACCAGATCTAAACCAGGTCTAAACCAATCTAAACCAGGTCTAAACCAGGTCTAAACCAGGTCCAAACCAGATCTAAACCAGGTCTAAACCAGGTCTAAACCAGGTCTCAACCAAATCTAAACCAGGTCTAAATCAGGTCTAAACCAAATCTAAACCAGGGCTAAACCAGGTCTAAACCAGATCTAAACCAGATCTAAACCAGGTCTAAACCACAACTAAACCAGGACTAAACCAGATCTAAACCAGGACTAAACCAGATCTAAACCAGGACTAATGTTGGATTTAAGAGTGAGAAGGAGAACCCCGAGCCTGTGGAGCAGGGTGTCTGCAAGGCTTGACTGGGTGATGGCTGCACTTAAGTCTGTGATGCATGGAGCTCTGCGCTGGTCCTTTCGCCTGCGGTCACCCGAGAGTCTACACTGGCGCACCTCCGGGCCCGTCTCGACACTAAGTCTTGGTTTAGTTCTGGTTTAATCTGGGTTTAGATCTAGTTTAGTCCTGGTTTAGTCCTGGTTCACTCCTGGTTCAGTCCTGGTTCAGTCCTGGTTCAGTCCTGGTTCAGTCCTGGTCCCTCATGTCTCAGGTCTCTATAGGACAGTAGTGCAGACATCATGAGCCTGTGCAGGTTGTTTCACCGTTGCCAGTAGCTCCAGTTTGACATTTAAGTTGTAGCTATTTTATGTTTGTTATTTTTTTTATATGTCACATCAGGAGAAGTGGGTGGACGGCGAACCAGTAACAAAACCCTACATTTGAACTTTATTTACTCTAACTGCCCCCATGTGTATTAAATATTAATGGCCTATAGGAATGCAAATCTGAAACCCAGCAGTAGTAGTATGTGAATAAAATAAATAAATAAATAAAATCCCTTCACTAAATTGCAGAGTTGTGTAGAGTAACCAAAAATTGTACTCAAGTAAGAGTACTTTAAGTGGTCCAAGAAATTATACTGAAGCAAGAGCAAAAAAGTATTTTGTCTTTTTGATGAATGGAGCGTCGAAGCCTCACGCAACACGTGACTGTAGACGTTATAGCAACTCAGCGCCAACTCTGGTTAGTCACTTTAATGAAATGAAAGTGAGGATTTGACAAGCCAAACTTTTGCTTTAGCTTGTTCATGGAATACATCCTTACTCACAGCAGGAAGAGGAACCAAAACTTTTACTCAAATAAGACTGCTGTTACTTCAATTAAAAATATTGAAGTAAAAGTTAAAGAGTAAAAGTATGCTGCTAGAAAATTTCTCTGAAAAGTAAAAATTCCTTAAAAATTTCTCAAGTCACTCACTGAAAAAAGAAAAACAAAACAAAAAAAAAAACACAATAACATGCCACTTAAGTCATGCTTGTGGATAGTGAATACTAGTAAATAAATAGATTTAAATACATCCTTCTTTAGCGATTTTAAAACTGAGTAATGCCCTCTTAAAATATGTGGCCTGTTAGCATTACAGCAAATAAAATAAATGACAACATAAAATTTGAAATGAAATCAAGAGCTCCAGCAGTTATATTAGTGTAATTACCTTCCACATTTCTTGGGTGCTTTGGGGTATCGTAATACTTACCTCACTCCATCACACTTCGTCAAACAATATTGTCATTTACAAAACTCTGAATCTCTCATTATTTTACAACTTCTACCAAAACCACTTCTCCCAAACCATCCACACAGCTAACCTGATATTGCCCTAATCTCCGTGTTGTGTGGGAGATTCCTATCACATGTAATAGTCTGGGGTCCACGGGGGCTTCTGTGTGAGTGGATGGGAGCAGATATCAGGATCAGGGGCTGTGTCGGCATCATTACAGGCACAAACACGAGCCTCTGAGCACAAACAGCGTGCGTCGATGTGAACCACGGCCACCGCCGCCACTGCACTCAAATGAAATGAAATGTTTGCAGCTCGTCTCTCGCTCGCTGTTCCTTTTTGTGTGTGAAATACGACGCCGTTGCTGAGCTGTTGTCTTCTTTTTCACTACGTTTACTCCCTTTTGATTTGTCGTATGCATTTGGGTATGAATTATTAGTGAAGTTAGCAGGGTTATGAGAGGGCTGTATTAACATAAGTGTGTGCACGCTGTTGTTGTTGATAGGACGGATAAATACTGTACATTAGTTTTGACTTCTGTTATACAGTATTTATGTTGTGATTGACTGAGACATAAAACTATTGAACTATTTAATGACTGATCATAAAGTTTGGCATTACATACCACTGTTCCTCTGCTTGGCTCCTGTGCCTGCATACTGTTTGTGAATGTGGCATCAGTTGTATGAGTGTGAATAGGAGAAGGTTTTATTGATATAATGTCAAATGATTTTATATTTTGTTTTTTTTTATATATTATGTTATATTATGTATATTTAGTAGACATTTCCATAACAAAAATTATTAGTTTTTATTATGAATTTAAGACTCACCCTCTGGCACCCTCCACCCAATGACATCACTACATGGGACATTTTGAGATTTTGATAAGAAGGAAGACAAAATGTGTATGGTTCTGAAACACGTCTTTGATGAGGAAACTAAAAAGCATGGCTAAAAGCTTCGCTGGTTTCGAATGATAAGGGCCTATAATCAATGTTCTTACATAAAATGTCTACAGAAAATGGAAATATCGCAGATGCATTGGCAGAGTTAGCAATCAGGGGGCCTCAGGCGAATTTGAGTTTGGGGTCTCTGTAAAATATTTTTGTCTGTTTTTTCACACTTAAAGAATGTTAACTTTGAAGAAGCTCTTACTTACTTACTTACTTACTTACTTACTTACTTACTTACGGCATGTGAGGAAAACTGTATGAAATAAACTCACTTTTCAGTCAGTTTTCATTCTTAATTGGGAAAGGAGATTCTGTGCATATATGAGCACATTACACCTTGTGGGGGCCTCATCAGATTTGGGGGCCCTTGGAAGCCGCCTACTCTTGCCGAATGGTAGCGCCGCACCTGATGCTGTGACTGTTGAGCATACTAAGTGTAATGGCTACAGACTGTTGTTGTGTCTTAACCCACTTTGCCTAGTATGAATGTGGTGTGTGTGTGCGTGTGTGCGTGTGTGTGTGTGTGTGTGTGTGTGTGTGTGCGTGCGTGCGTGCGTGTGTTGGTGGAGGTCACACGCTGACAGCCATCTACCCCAGGGCAGCTGTGGCTACAGTAGCTTTTACCACCACCATGTGTGGAGGTAATGAATAATGCAATATTCAAGTCTGAGCTCTCATCATGTGCTTTGTGACCAGTCTCCATGGGACAGTGGTTCTGAAAGCCGGCGCTCCAGCTGGACCAGCATGAGCAGAGGGCCCAGTCTGCACCGCAGGAGTCAGTCTGGAGAGATGGAGTCTTTGCTCTCAGACACACACAGCTCCAACCCCAGCAGCCAGGAGCACTCTCTGGACCAGCCCGACTACCTGCAGGTGAGACCAGCTGTCAGGAGCTTCTACACTCCCCTGTGGACTACACATGTGTTTACATTTGTGCTCCAAAATATCTTATTATAATTCTTCTGACAAATACAAAGATTACATACCTAGATTACATTCCATCACTTGTCTAGGTGCCCCTGCTTCACCCGCCAGACTGTAACGGCACGACCTTTCACCTCCCGGACCACTGCTATGACGACACTGTCCCCACACTGCCCTTCAGCGACCAGGAGGAGGAGGAGGAGTTTGAGGAGGTGGGCTTTGTTTCTTTCTATTACTGATGAGAAATCGCCATCAAAGACGTTTCCATTGTTCTGCTTCAACTAAAAACAGCTGACGTGCTTAGAAGTTCAAAAAGCGCTGCTCATTAATTCTAACCTTGTTTTGCTCGGAAAACACCTTCTGTACTTATGTAACTGGTACATGTAAAATTAGTGGAAATTATGTTATCTGGCTTGTTTGGGTGTTTCTCTGCACACAAAGTCATGCACCAGACTACTGAAAAACCCTTTGAACGCACTTTCAAAGTAACCCAGATCAGAACTTTGAACAACTCTACACAATTATTAATTACATATTGGCAAGTTTCAATACAAATTATTCAGAAGATCATAGATAGACCTGGTAGATCAGTAAATTTTAGTTTATAATTGAAAATTGTTATTATGATGCATGATGAAGCATAATAAGATTTTGATATCAAAGATTGAGTCAAATATTGTTTTTACTTTTAATCTAGTTTTAGTTGACGAAAATGTCATGCTAATTTAGTCGACTAAATCCATTTTTAATCAACCAGATTTTTTGTTATTTTCTGATAAGTAGTATGTGATTGTTTCTGGGACAAGTCCAGATGTCTTTGTGGAGGTTGAAAAGTGGAACTTGGATCTAGTCTCTACTCATTTCTTTCATTTATTTATGTTTCGTTTTTATTATTCAACAGAAATATACAATTTTAGTCATGGCTTAAGTCAGCGGAATTATTTTGTTGTTGTTGTTGTTTACGTGCAGAGTTTCGGGGTTAAGCTGAAGAGAATGGTGGAGCCGTATGAGCCGCAGTGGTGCCGCGATCATGAGGACTGGTCTTTGTATCTGTTCGCTCCGCATAACGAGTGAGTCCAAAGGCACACACACACACGCACACACACACATGCACGCTTGTTAGCACTTGAGTGACCGAGGTGCCAACGAACGCTGACGAAGAATTCACAGCTAACGTGTGAAGGTTAAACTGGGGGCTTCGTGTTGGCACCCACATTTTTTCGATCAAATAAAGAGTAGTGAAAATACACATGCCCAGTTATTACACTGACAATACTATGGTAGCTTGCACTTCAAGAGATTTCGTTTTTTCATCAAATTAGGACTGAACTGTCTGAGTAATTTCAGATTTTTAGGTTTTTATGGGCAATCAATTTGTACTACCCAGAAAACAGAATGAACCTTATAGTTCTACAAGGAGGACTTGTTGTAGTAAGTTGTAGGAAGTGCTCCTGTGTGTTTTTTAAAGTCCACACACTTTTTTCATGACTGAATGTTTCCCTCTTCACTGTTGCCAACACAAGCATTCAAAGTGAAAGTATAAGACAAACTGGTGCACGTTTTCATTCATGAAGGTTATTTAAGTTATAATTTAGGAAATGAGTTCCCTTCACAAACCCTTGGACACATGTGTAGCATTCACATGCATGCATTTTTCTGACCATAGCACAGCCAGTCCACACTCACTCAAAAACTGAACGTAGCAACGTACCAGACATGCTATATATCCCAGGTTTGTGATCAGTAAGAGCTTTATGGATTTTTTCCTTTAGGTTCCGATTGTGGTGTCAGAGGGTGATCACGCACAAGCTGTTCGACCACATCGTTCTCCTCTTCATCTTCCTCAACTGCATCACCATTGCACTGGAGAGACCGGACATCCAGGCCAACAGCATGGTAAAGCGCATATTTACATTTCAAATGTATATATATATATATATATATATATACACACACACACACACACACACACACAATCACATTCTGGAAAAGTTGCGTATCTTTGAGCAGCTATAGCTAAAAGAATCCTCCACAGAGATAGAGACTCTCAATTTTTATTTCGTAATGATAGGACCAATATTGATGCAGATAATCTATCCAAAATTTGGTTAAAAAAACCGTGAAATAATATGATCAAATATACGTGTGTCTAATTAACCTGCAGGTTAGGTGATGAGGTGTTTTCCACATTTAAACAGTGTTTGAAAAAGATCCACAAAGAGATCTTTAGGTCTTCTTCCTCCACAACTTAGTTTAAAGAGAGGAAGCTGGAGAGAGAAGCACTCCTCCTCTGTGTGTCCCTCTGCACTCTGAACGTTATAGAGGAGAGAACGGAGGAGCTGGAGGGACAAAGAACAGAGGAGCAGGTCCAGTTTTAGTCGAATCATTTAAATAATAAAATGAAGTCAATGAACTATATCAACACATAAAATACATTCACAACACAACATGTAAACATGAAAGCAATTAATACAAATCATGTGACCAAAACTGTGAATTGATCCTATTGTTGTAAATTATTTCATAATCTCTTTTTATCTTGTTCTTGTAGACACTATCTTGTGTCTATTTTGTGAAAATTCTTTCTCTTCCCACCCCTAATTTACACAATATTTGTCTTGTTCTTGTGGCTGATGTAACTGCTATTAAGCTTTTAAAATCTATAGGTCAGACCAAATTTATGTTTTATTATATTAAAGTTTACAAATTAACAAAAAGACCCATCTGATGCACTGTAGGATAAACTGGGAAAGATACATGGGCACACAAAGACTTGGGGAGTGCAGGTCAAAATATTGGTGGCAAATATATACAAAATGTTCAATATTACACTGATACGATATTTGGGGAAATCCTCCGATATCACCAATATCGCTAATAACCGATATACCATCCTTTGTAATAAATGCTTTTTCCTGCCTGGTTCACCGCGTTCACCTATGAGTTAATTGAAACAGACCTTATACCTTTCGAATTGCATTACAAGGCCAGCGCTTTTGATATGATAATTGCTCTTTCTGTGTTTGAAGGTGGAAGGTGCAGGTTTGATGTTGTCCAGCCGTGTGTTGTGGCACATGAAATGATGATGAGAACATGTGTGAGTGCAGCGTGGGGGCAGAGCAGACGGAACACATCTATTAAATAATAAGTAGATTGTGGAGTTTACCGCAGAGTCAAACAATGGAACATGGATAGTGAGGCTGACAGACCTTGGATTTAGATGTGCCAGGATGATGTTTTCATCACACTGTACTCCCACATTCACTTTTTATCATAGTTTAATGCTAGAATTATTGTAACAGGAATACAGTCATCTAAACTACCAATACCATAATAATAATAATTGTAGGTCAGCTTTATAGCAAATCTTATCTTTAATCTGTGATGTGTTAAATGTTAAGTCCAACTGTGAACAATGAATAAATATTATCCATTAATTGTATTTTTATTGGCCTTTAAACATGGTCTTGAGTACCTTTGTTTGGAAATTTCAGAATTTAGAACTTAAAATAATGCCTAATAAAATAATAATAATAAAAATAAATAAATAACTGAATTAAAAAAACAGACATCTACCATCTGCCATCTACTGGAAGCAGAGGGAATTACCCCAGCGAAAACAATTAACCTAAGCAATGAGGAACATGAGCATGCAGCAGTAATGAACACAATTTGACGGCAGAAATGCTTAAAACGAGCCTGGCAATGATATATAAACTTAAAAACAAACTTGGTTTCTCAGGGTTTCTATCTATGACATCACAATCCTGAGAAACTTTGAATGGAGTAAGACTCAGGCAAAAGACTTTTTACAGAGGATTACTGAAATGACATGAAATGAATGACGACTCCAGTTATGCCGCGGAGAAAATTCAGTTTGTCGACTGGACAAAAGTTAGTTTGGTTGAAGACGTTTCGCAGCTCATCTAAGCTGCTTCTTCAGTTCTGGTCAGAATGCTGATGGACACTTCCTTATAACTGTCTGCAGAGAGGAGCTAACTACACTGAAACTACTCTGAAACTAACACACCTACTTGTTTAGAGTTTTTTGGTAACACTTTATAATAACTACACCTTATTTAGCCTTAATAAAGCATGAACAAAGACTTAATTAATAATGATCCACGCTTAGTAACTACTTAATTTCTACCTTAATTAGCACTTGCACTTAATTTGCCTGTGCTGTAAATAGTTACTCATAATTATTTCATACTTAATTACTCATGAACTAACCATTTGAGCATTTATTAATGATTAGTAAACTATGAGAGAATGATTTACTAATAATGCAATGCAATGATAATTCAGGCAGCTGTTATCTGTTAGTTAAGTCTTTTTGAGAGCTTTTCTGAAGTGAAGATGAATTATGCTTTATTAAGTAGTTACTAAGCGTGAATCATTATTAATTAAGTATTTGTTCATTATTAATTAAGTCTTTGTTCATGCTTTATTAAGGCTAAGTAAGGTGTAGTTATTATAAAGTGTTACCGAGTTTTTGTTAGTTAGTTATCTCTATTGACCTGTACAGGTTGTGGGGTTTAATTAGCAGAACAATTCATGGTCATAATGGAGCTTCCACACCTGTGGACCTGACCTGGCTGCACCTGTTGTTCTCTTGTTTGTTTTTATTTAGGTTTGAGGATGGAGTTGTAAATAGGAGATAGATGGTGTCTGAGGCCTCCATTTCTGTTTAGAGAAGGATTCTCTTTCTTAACAAAAATGGCTTCTTTCACTCCCCTCTCAAACCAATTCTTTTCTCTGGCTAAAATCTGTACCTCACTGTCCTCAAATGAGTGGCCCGTGGCTTTTCAGTGGAGATGTACAGGAGACTGAGGTCCACTGCTGCTCTCTCGTCTGTGTTGGTACATCCTCTTGTGATCCTCCTCATCCTCAAACCTAATTCAAAACAAACAAGAGAACAACAGGTGTATCCAGGTCAGGGCCAGAGGTGTGGAAGCTCCATTATGGCCATGAAATGTTATGCTAACTAGACCCCACACCCTGTACAGGTCAATAGATATAACTAACTAACAGAAACTGAAAATAAGTAGGTGTGTTAGCTTCAGAGTAGTTTAAGTGTAGTTAGCTCCTCCCTGCTGACAGTTATAAGGAAGTGTCCACCAGCGTCTGACCAGAACTGAAGAAGCAGCTTGGATGAGCTGCGAAACGTCTTCAACTAAACTAACTTTTGTCCAGTCGACAAACTGAATTTTCTCCTCGCTGTGGATTCTACCTGGACGACTGAGGGATGCTTCACACGACTTGTTAATGAAGGAACATGGTAAAAGCTCACACTCCTTTTAGCATAATATGTGTTCTTTAATTAAAAATATGTAGGTGCTTTATATTTGGATTCATAATTTTGTTATTTGGACTATTTACCAATTTTACCAATTCAATAAAACCCTCAAGAATTCAAAACAGACAAGAATTAATTTTGTGTATTGACAGATTATGGTAGAAAATGTTTCAGTGTTTATGTCCAGAAGACTGCCTTTGAGACAAAGCTGCAAGATTGATCGTAAACAAATCGAAATCGCAGTTTGAATGTTTGAAATTAGCAAATTGGAAAGGCTGCAGTTTTTGAAGTAACGTAATTTCTTTCACTAACAACTAAATGTTCTGTCTTACTCTGCATAAAAACAGCTAACCCTGTCTTTTAAATCTGTGCAAACATGCTCTGAAATGTGATTCTTATATTAGTTTGGTCTTTTTGTCATTTATGCTGGATGCAAAATGTTAACTTTGAATAGAATCCTATTATTAAAACATAAATTGCAAATCTAATTGCAATTGTAACACTTGTCAGAAAAAACACATTTAGATATTTTTACCAACCGTGCTGCTCTACTTTGAGACCTTACCGTGAACCATTCCTGGACAAATGAGGGATTAAACCAAAAACTGTACTAATTATTTATTAATTATCAATCTGTCTTTACCAGAGGTGGGACAAAGTCGTTTTGCAGGTCTCAAGTAAGTCTCAAGTCTTTGACCTCAAGTCCGAGTCAAATCCCAAGTCAAATACAGGAAAGTCCAAGTCGAGTCTCGAGTCACTGGCCTATAAGTCCAAGTCAAGTCCAAGTCATCTGCTTTGAGCTTCAAGTCATTTCAAGTCTTTAAACCAAAGTATCAAAGATAGGTTAGATTTTTGAAATTTATAAGAATTTTATATGAATTTCTTTAATTGTACTTATAAAATCATATTGTATATTTATATATGAGTATTTATGGAGTATATAAGAGTTGTAGAAAAGCTATTTTTTTCTTTTTAAATGTCTTGACAAGATCTTAGTGTGAATCATTACAGTCAGAATAGAAAGAATTCAGATTTAAAAGTGCTTCTCAAGTCTTCTCAAGTCACAAGCCTAAAGTCCAAGTCATGTCCAAGTTATTAAACTTCATGTCCAAGTCGAGTCCCAATTTTTTGTCAATTTTATCAAGTCTCAAGTCCTAAAAACAGTGACTCAAGTCAGACTTGAGTCATGTCATGTCCCCACCTCTGGTCTTTACAACATTCAAGGTGACCAAAGAGCTTTTGAATGAAATCAGCATAATATAAAAACATTCAAAACATTAATATTTAAACAGGCCTAAGTCTGTGGTAGTGGCGTATCGGGGGCAGGTTGTTCTGGAGTCTGGGGCAGGCGACAGAGAAAGTCCGATCACCTGTGTGAGCCTGGCTCTGGGGACTTTCAGGAAAAGCTGCCTGTTTGACCTTAAGGCTTGAGCTGTAAACAGACAGGAGTTTAGTCAAATAGGAAGGCCATTAAGAGCTTTAACAACAAACAATCAAGTGTCTTTGAGTAATATCATTGATAGCTGCAGCCCCAATTTGTCTATAAGATTTATTTTACCAATATTTAAAACACAGGCCGGGAGTCTTGCTTCTGTGACTTGTGTCTTACAAAACATGAAAAAAAAATGCACTGAATTGAAAAGGTAACTGTCTGTTTGTTTCAGTCTCTGTCATTATTAAACGTGTTTTTTAAAAGTAAACTTCTTAAATCTTGACATCCTTATCCATTAAAGGAAATACTTGTAAGCCACTAAAGAGCTAAACATGAGCTGACCTCAGACATCTGCACTGAGCACACTTCACAGTTGACACCCTCCCAATGAACCAATCAGAAGTGTTTGAGCCCGCCTCTAAACACCACTGGAGTGATTAGGTTTGAGGAGAGCCGGAGGATCCTTGGAGAGCTAACAGCTGGCATTGAGGCTGCCCACTTGTAATCAGGACGCATGCTAATGTCTGGTCTGAACAGGCCCATAGACTTAATCATGTTCCACAACACAAGCACAAATAGACTATTGTGCACACTGCAATTTCATTCTAGAGTACTGTGAAAAGATTGAAGAGATTTGATGGATTTTAGCCCCAAATCAAATAGAGTATACGTTTTATTATTTGCTATGGTAGATTCATTCAACACAAAGAAACTATAACAGTCAGTCCACCAGCAAGAACCACAACCTCAGAATGTGAATGCAAAAGATTTATGAGAGCACATAAATGTAGACTGAACTTCAAGGAACCATATTGCAGCCTGTGCTTTTCAAAAAGGCATCACAATCACTACTGAAGCTGCATAAGGAGGGCACTAGTTCTGATTCCTGATTGCCTGTAGGTGCAGTTTAAGTAGTGAGGATTCAGACCAGAGAGAGGCATTTTAGGTTTAAATCATTCATTCTGCTTTCTGGTTGGATAATCATATTGAGAACCAAAAAAAACATGAACAACTTTGTCATCGTGTCCAGTGTTTTTGTAATTACAGTTGTTAACAGTCAGAGCTCTATTTGAACATGTGTGTCTTGTATTTGGGGACACAGTTCGGTCATATTTATGGAATTTAAAATTAAAGACTGACTCGTGGGTTCTTCCACGGCCAATGCCGATAGGCTCTATTCACGCTTACATCACAAACCAGGAAGATGTTTGGAAACATGCAATGACAACTTCTGGCAGGCTCTGTTCGCAGTAGTAAGTCTAACAAAATCTAGGAAAAATGAGAAAATGTTCCATTATGTTCGGCTCATCAACAGTTACAACCATCCCTCAGTTTTCATCATTTCCCCACTGACACACAAATCTGAGTGCACTGGTACATGTGATTAGAAGAGATGAGAGGCAAAATTCAAGATGATTCCAGCACATACGTCTGCAGTCTTCATTTTACTACTGATCACATTTACTTCAGTGGGTTTGATCACGGTCGAGCCCAGTGTCGGGAACTACACCGGAAGTTGTCATCACATGTTTCCAAACGTCTTCCTGGTTTGTGACATAAGCGTTAATAGAGCCTGTTATTTTGAATCCAGAGAAGCCATTGGGTGATAATATGATGATATTTTTGGGGCCAATTTTGGTCATTTTCCCCAAATTATCTAATTTGAATCTAATAGAACCTCATTCACGACCTTGTCTAGTTACAAACTAGATAAGAGAGCAGCGTGGTCACATTTTTGCAATACCCTCTTTGAACTCAAGTGTTCAGATAGAGCTATCTGCACGTCAAAATGCCTGTCAAAGCCTGATCATGTCCGATCTCAGAAGTTAAGCAGGACCTGGTTAGAGTCTGGTTAGTACTTGGATGGGAGACCTCTGGGAAAATCCGGTGCCACAGGGAGGCACCAGTTGCTAAAACTGCTGTTGTGTCCTTCAGCAAGGCACTTCACCCACATTGCCTAGTATGAAAGTGGTGTGTGTGTGAGTGATGGTGGTGGTCAGAGGGACTGATGGCACCTATTGGCATGACAGCTGTGCTTTAGTCAGTCTGCCCCAGGGCAGCTGTGGCTTCAATAGTAGCGTATCACCACCGGGTGTGGAGTGAATGAAAAATACTGTATAAAGTGTCTTTGTGGCAAATGTCTGCGAAAAGTGCTATATAAATAAAAAACATACTTATTCTTTATGCATATTTAGGCAGCAGAATGGACGAAATAAAATAATGACAAAATCTTCCTTTAAGAAAAGAATAATGCATCAGTTTTATACAGCTCTTTTCTGGACACTCAAAAGCACTTTACAGTTTATTATTCATTCAGTCCACATTCGGTGGTGGTAAAATACTATTGTAGCCAGAGCTGCCCTGGGGCAGACTGACAGAAGTGATGCTGCCAATCTGTGCCATTGGCCCCTCCAACCACCACCATCACTCACACACACACACACACACACACACACACACACACACACACACACACACACACACACACACACACACACACACACGTTTCATACTAGGAAATATAGGTGAAGTGTCTTGCCTAAGGACACAGTTTTTGCGCCCCCCTGTGGCACCTGATTTTCCCAGTGTCTCCCATCCAAGTTCTAACCAGGCGCGGCCTCTGAACTTCTGAGATCTGACGGGATCAGGCTTTGACAAGCTGGTCTGGCCACAAAACTTATCTTCATTTGTATGAGAACCAGATATCATTTGAAAACACTATGACTTGTCACTCAAATGTTACACCTTGTCACTCATTTTGAGAACCCCGACAACCTGCCTCTTCTGAGTTTGACATATAATCAATAAAGCAAATAACAGAACAACGTGAAGCTTTGGAAGAAAAAAAAAGTTTTAAGCGATCTAAAAAGAATCCATTAAATAAACACTAAACTAAACCTGTCAGATTTGTTTAACTGGTTTTCAGCACCAGTTAAACATTGAAACATTTGTATTTGTTCTCGTTGTTTGTCTCTCTAATATACATTGAGAACGAGATGAGAATGATCTGAACATTTACAATTAATAGTGATTTCTTACTGAGATCACCTTTTTGCTGCAAGCCTGAAAGCAGAAACTCATACATAATAATGAAAACATCACACACACATCGTAGAGTCAGAATCCATTTGAGTCAGCAGTAACTTCGTCCTCTTCATCAGTTTACTAACTAATATACAGATTAGGGTTGGGCGGTATCCAAATTTTGATACCGCGAAACCACAGCCGCGCATCAATGTGAGGGCAGCTCCACTGGCAGCTGCAGCAGGACGTAAATGTGCAGCACTGGCTCTGTGTTTATCAATGAGAAAGAAGATCAGACTTGACTGGGCGCGTTTAGCCGCTTGTATCAGGTCCACAGTGAAACTAATAGCTGAACACACTTGTATTTACCTTCTGTACAGGCTGACCAGGGCAAACGCCAGGATTTCAAAAGTACATTTTAAAGCACTAATTAACAGTCTTTCTGGACCTGGGCTCTTTCACATGACACAGAACTGCCCCAGGAGCACATTTGCTGATGGTAAATGCACAAATACAACAATAGATTCATGGTCTCTCTGTATTTTGACGGGGATATGCGCCTACGCTCGCGTAGAGCGTCAAAAAAATAGGATAGATCCTATTTTCTGAAATCTACGCACGCAGGACACGCTGCTCCATACGCGCCCCGCCCTCATTCACTTTCCATGCACTCTAAAAGTTACGTGTCCAAAAGTTGCAGTTTTTACGTTCGCGTAGGGCGAAATATGCATGCAGTGGAGCCAGGCCCATAATCTCTGAAAAGTTAAAACACGAACTGTCTCCAACTTGACACATGCACAGAACAGACTCACCGTCAGCCACGACATCCTCTGTCGCAGAAAGAATATATTCCGCTAAAAAACATATATTCCACTGAGTCATGTCCTTTAGTTCGACAAAAGCTGAACCGCATCAGCAGCACAAGAAGTGAGCTGTTTTTCTCAGCGTTTACAGTTCATGCAAATTAGCCATGCAGTTTTAAGTTTCGTTTCTGTAAAACAGAAAGAAATGTGCGCCGGTGTCTTGCCATCTTGTCTTGGTCTCTTATGAGCGTCACATGACAGCGGAATGAAACTAATCGAACATCATCTCCCCAAGAAACATTATAGACACTATTAGTTTTAAATCGTGATGCATTAAATTGAAAATACAACCACACATTCATTTGTGCAGCGCAAACAAATTTAGATATTGATAAATTATAATATTATATTAGGTCCTTATGCGTTGCAGATTTTCTTTTTAATGATGGTAATGAAACTGATACTGTTGCTATTTTTTGATACCGCAGTATACCGTAATACTGATAGATAGATAGAACAGATAGAACACTGTCAGTTGGGGTACACATTGTAAGACCACGTTATATGAATACAAAAATGGCACCAGTTACTACCAAGTGAATTAATCTTAGTCCATACCAATTCTACTAATGTATTTGTAAAGGTTACTCTTTGCATGGGATTCAACAGGCCCATAGTTTTACATTGACTTATGGGAATCCTTGAAGCTTCCTTTTAAACCATTCTATAGGGGCAGACAGTATAGACACGACTGCTGCTGTACTTAATGATGCCCTAATTAAGTCCAGTGTTATGGATGGTACTTCATGTTTTATCTCCACTAGACCTTCTTTTTCTTATTTTATGTGCAACTTTTTGTATTACTTAAAAAAATCCTTAAAAAAACCATAGGACTTTTTTCTGCCTAACATTCCCAGAAGCCTAAAAACCGCACACACACATTTCCACACAGTGAATTAGTGACTGCAGACGTGAATAGCTGATGTAATAGCGGTGGAGGATTCATTAGTTAGAACAGGGCTCCCCCTCGCACGCTTTGATTATGTTTCTGCTACAATTGTACTGCTCATTATGGATCAAGTTGCTGTTAAAATCCTCAGAGCTGGGCGTCTGTGTGTGGGAGGGGCTGCACTCATGTTTTTGTGTCTCTGTGACTGACAGGAGCGGGTTTTTCTGAGCGTGTCCAATTACATCTTCACTGTCATCTTCATCGGGGAAATGATGATTAAAGTAAGTATAAAGAAGACTGTATGTACTGGCTTGTACAAAAGATTGACATACCCCCTCCCTTTATTTGTCTCACAATTTGAAAGTGCCTTAGAAGAATAGTTATTGTATACTTAAAGGAACTCTCTCTCTGTAGCCTACGCTCTTATTGTTTTCAAAAGTCACTATCACAATTGAATCTGAGTTCCCAGTGCCTTAACCCATAGAAAGTAGACACATTATTCGTTTTTCTTATTCTCAGTATACGGACAGGCCTCACATGAAAGCTCACAACCTCCAGAATTCCCTCACTGAGCTGCAGAGGCTGCACTAGCACTGATTCATGACTGAGTGCAGTTTCTGGGGTTTAGGGAGTGAGGATTTAGTCCTTTTAGGTTTAAACCAACTGGATTTCAGCATTGAAACTGGCAACCCACATGAAAAACTCATGTGAGACTCATTCTTCTTTCTGCTTGGATAATTGTCTTAAGAACCAAAACACCAAATTATAACATAAATAAAGTTGAATGTTTTTGTAACCAAGAATAAATCAGCATTATCAGCATAATCCTCCCATGATAATGAGCTCTGGGTAATGACCAAAAGCACGTTGAGAGGAGCAGTTGAGGTGGCTCGGGAATCTGTTCCGGATGCCTCCTGGTCCTCTCCTTCGGGAGGTGTTCCCGGCATGTCCCACCGGGAGGAGGCCCCGGGGAAGACCCAGGACACGCTGGATGGAGGGACTATGTCTCTGGGCTGGCTTGGGAACACCTTGGGGTCCCCCGGAAAAGCTGGAGCAAGTGTGCATGGAAAGGGAAGTCTGGGAGTCCCTGCTTAGACTGCTGCCTCTGTGACCTGGCGGACGGATGGATTTAGGTCATGTGTTATATGTTTAAACGTTTTTTTTTTAAATCCTGGAGTAGTTTGTTCATACATTTTAAAATGATTGGCGAGATTATTTCTGCTCTTTATATAATAAAGGAAGTGCTCCTGTGTGTTGTTAAAGTCCATACACCAGTGATCATCGATAGTCAGTGCAGCCCCCAAGACATTTACTGAGACAAAAACATCACATCTCAAATGAATAGTGAATCATTCAGGACCAGGTGGGAGCATAAATGCATTGACAAAATGTGTAACCAGGCCATTCAGTTTGGTAAGTGTATTTTGCACAAACAGCAGACCGCCACTTATCCATAGAGGGACCTTCAATAAAACACAAAGTGCCCTGCTGTTATGTTCGCATTATGCAATCATGTTATCATTATGTTGACAATGGCCTTACTGTCATTTCAAAATGTGTCACTCACTACTGTTTCAATTACAAATCCAAGCTTTGTCCATGAAACTGAAAGGAAATGTAAAGTACCAAGGCAGATATATTTTCTGTATCTAATCTTAAAAATTCAAACCATTTATTTAATCTGTATACACTACAAATCGCAAAAGAAAGGCCAAATCTTTTATCACAGCACCACTCTTGTATCTCATAGATCAGATTGGCGTCTGTTTTTGCATCAGATGCTTCTGGCATTGGGGAAAGCAGCATAAAGAACCATTAATTTATTTAATCATTGTGTTCATTTATTCAGTATTTATGAGGGGACAACGAGTAGAAAAAGTGCTTCGATAACGCAGCCAGCTAAATCATTTCATTTTCACCTAACCTAAACAGCAAGCAATTAATTACTTTGCTTCATAACAAGTCACTACTTTAAAATATTAGCACTGGATTTTGCCAGAGACTTTAACAGACACTGACAAATAAGTGAGTAGCAATAAATAGTTGATTGTCCCACACTTACTGAAGGTGAAACGAAGAAGATGGAGTAGTTGAGAAGGCTGATGGTTCTAAATCCATGTATCATTTGTTCATTTGTTTTTCAATATAAAACCAAAAATAAGAAAACGAAAAAACAACAGTTTTCTTCATTATTTGTCTCCAAAACCAAAATGAAAAAATTGATAACTATTCGTTTTTTCAGTTTTCAATATTGTGTTTAAATGAGGAATGGAACAAATGGATAACGGCCGTTTCCTGTTTACATGACTTCCCTGACTGCGATGTTGGACTTTTGCACCGCATACGGACTGAACCAGGACTGATCCAGGTCCGGGACCAGACCGGGACCAGACCGAGACTGAGACCAGACCGGGGACTAGACTGAGACTGAGACCAGACCGGGACCAGACCGGGACTAGAGCGGGATTGAGACCGGGACCAGACCGGGACCAGGCCGAGACCAGACTGGGCCCAGACTGGAGGCTCAAAGCCCACGGCAGGGCCGGAGCTCGAAGCTGAGGCTCGGACCTCACAGAGTCTCGAAGTCAAAGTTCGGAGTCCGCTCTGGTCCCGGTCTGGTCCTGGTCTGGTCTTGGTCTTAGTCCCGCTCTGATCCCGCTCTGGTCCCGGACCTGGGTCAGTCCTGGGTCAGTCTGTATGCAGTGCAAAAGTCCAGCATCGCAGTCATGGAAGTCATGTAAACGGGAAATGTTCCATTCTTCATTTAAACCCAAAATCGAAAACTGAAAAAACGAATCGTTATACGTTTTTCATTTTGGTTTTGGAGACAAATAATGAAGAAAACAGTTGTTTTTTCATTTTCTTATTTTTGGTTTTATATTGAAAAAGAATGAATGAATGATACATGGATTGTTCTGCTGCTGTAGTGGAGAGGAGGAGACAGAGACTGCGTTTAGTGGAACGATTATTGACCGTAATGATTTGTGGGAGGACAATGGCAGCTGACTGATTAGTTGGGAGTCTTTCTGGTTGGATTTGCACTCCTTCATCTCTGTGCGTAGGTGGTCGCTATGGGCCTTTACTTCGGCAAAGGCGTGTACCTCCAGAGTTCTTGGAACGTTCTGGACGGCCTCCTGGTGTTCGTATCCCTGGTGGACATCCTGGTGTCGATGGCATCCGCCGGGGGAAATCGAATCTTGGGCATCCTACGGGTCCTTCGCTTGCTCCGAACTCTGAGACCACTGAGGTAAAGCACACACTGTACTAGATCACTAACTTTCAAACATTTGGTATTATATTTTGTCATTTTTTTACATCTTTTTATATATTATTGAACGTCCTTTAGAGTGATAAGCCGCGCGCCTGGTCTCAAACTGGTTGTGGAGACGCTGATCACCTCTCTCAGACCGATTGGAAACATTGTCCTCATCTGCTGTGCATTCTTCATCGTTTTTGGCATTCTTGGAGTTCAGGTACATGACTATTTCTGCACATTAAAGGTCTTATATTACACAAAATAGACTTTTGTGAGCTTTTAAGCATGTTAAAATTAGGGGTGTCAAATTATCGCGTTAATTGTGATTAATTAATTACAGTCATATTTAGCGCGTTATGTTTTTTAATCGCGTTAATCTCATTTTTAATCTCTAACTTTAGTGTTTCTGTATGTGAGTTGCTTTATTATAAAACCTGTTTTTATGTGTTGTTGGGACAACAACACACACACAAAAACACATTTATAATTTTTTTTATTTCGGTAATTCCACTCATTGTCGGAAACCCACACAAAACGCGCGCAGTAAGAGCGATGTAAACGTCATGTTCACGTTGGCGGCGTCAGTCACACACAGTGGAACGAGAGCCAGTAGAACAGAGGCAGCAGTGCACAGGTAAAAACACATTCGTGTCTTGGAAATTATTCTCCCGACGTGAAATATAAAAGAAAATAACAAATATAAAATCGCCTACAACTTAAATGTCACTGGTGAAAACAACCTGCATAGACTCATGATGTCTGCACTACTGTCCTATAGTGACCTGCCACATGAGGGGACACGCACACAAACACACACAAACACACACACACAAACACACACAAACACAAACACACACAAACACACACCTTCATCATCGTCATCAACCTGAGAACGCGCGGACCACGTTTCCTTCCGTAGTTACTGCGCGGACACCGACGTGCTCCCGTGAGCCGCGTGTGGATCGTGTTTTCTGGCGTACGCTGCGTAAACCGCGCTTCCTCCTGTGCGCCTCTAAACCAGAACTAACACCAAGACTAAAACCAGGACTAATCCAGTCCAGGACTAAACCAGGACTAAACCAGGTCTAAACCAGGACTAAACCAGGACTAAACCAGAACTAAAACCAGAACTAAAACCAGGTCTAAACCAGGACTAAACCAGTGATCTCATATATAAAGCATTTCTCTAAGGAAAGACTGGACTTTTTATTGTCTTTAAGTAGACAAAAGTTATTATGTTCAGATTTCCTCGTCTTTGCTACTTTACAGCAAACAGTTTCTTATTCATGGAGACTTGGGCTCAACAGCCAAATTGGAGAGATTTGTTAAACAATAAATGACTTTATAAAGTCACTTTTTTTTATCTATATCAGTCTTTTGATCTGCCACAATAATGTAATAATGAATTTAAATGAAAATACCTCAAATTGAAGCTTTTCTCAGCAATTTTTAGGTGAGATTAAAATGAGATTAATTAGATTAATTAATTACAGATCATAATTAATTAATCTCTCAATTTTTTTAATCGCATGACAGCACTAGTTAAAATGTTGTTACCTCATCAAAAACAAACCCAGAGTCGTATTTTGTTTCATTCACACGTTTGCGTAATCCTTTATTATTACTGTATTTCTCGAACTATAAGTCACTCTTGGAGTATAAGTCGCACCAGCCAAAAAATGCTGAAAAAAAAACATATAAGTTGCACCGGACTATAAGGAATATACTTTTTGTGGGAAAATATTTTATTAAATCAGATACCAGGAACAGACATTTTATCTTGAAAGGCCAGTTCTAGTAATAACAATAGAAGAGAGAACAACAGACTGTTAACGTCACATATGAACAGTTCTTCAGATAAACTATAACATAAACAACAGAACAGAACAAGTTACCCCAAACATACAAAAAAATCCACTGAATTCTTCATCCTTGGTGTCACCTCTGAGCAAGTCCGGAGGTAAACAGAGCACCGCTTCCTCTTCTGTGTAGCTGTCGCCAGACTCAACATCAGTTCCAATTAGAATTATTCCGGCCTTTCTGAATCCCAACAGGATGGTTTCGGTGTCACTAAAGTCACTTAAATATTTAATTTTCAGTGGTTCAGAAGTAATGGTGCAATCGACTGACATACAGACAGGACAGGGGCTCTTTCTGCAGGAGACATGTGCAGTAGAGTGAAGTGACAGTGGTACAGGAGGAACAGGAGCAGCAGATACTGACATACTTATAGCCTGAAAAATAGTCTGCCTACATCTCCAAAGCTGAAATGCTCTATTCCACCTTGTGATGTCATGAAGCAGTAGTTTTTGAGTTTACAGCTCCCTTTCACCTTTAGTTCAGTAGAGACTGGCAAAAGGGTTCAAATCAGCCAAATGATTCCAGTGAAGATGCATGAAGTTTCAAAACACAACAGAGCACTTACTTTATTACCACGTGACATCACAAGATGGAACAGATTGTTTTCAGTTTGACAAAAAAGCTTAAATATGCAGGGTTTGTGTGTTCAACACGTATGAATGAAACAAAACACAACTCCAGGTCTGTTTGTGATGAGGAAACAGCATTATAGCAGAAAACAGATCAGAAAATAGTTTAATAATGATTGTTAAATTTTCAAACCTAATTGTGTTCCCTCCTGCACAAAAGGCTATTGTAGCTTAAAATAAATAGGGCAGAGCTCCAGAGTGCTGCAGGTGATAGAAAAGTGAGTTGGAATGTAAATGAGCTGCTGATAATGGCTTATATTCACACAAAGTTTAAAAAAAAAAAAAATGCTCAAGGGACAAAATGTTACATCTGAAAATTACCTCTTTTGTCTACTTTCAAGCTGGTCCACTGAGTTATTAATGCGCATAATTGTTTGGCACTACATTTTGCTGCCCTTAGGTATAGACCACACACATTTATATGTTTCAATTCTCTCTGTTTTTTAAAGGGCCTGTACCTGATTTCAGTCTCTGAGCCAGGAACATGTTCATTTTTACTTAGAACCTCTAGCCCGTCCAGTTAGTTAGTGACTTTCAGCCTCTGGGATACTGCGCTGTGACAAACAACTGTCTGGGAGAGTGTCAGGCAGTTTCCTTAGAGTTCTCAAATCTCTGCCTATTTTTGTAGCTCTTGAAAATGCACCGTGACAGAGCATTAAGTGTCTGGGACAGTGTCAGGCAGCTGCTTTCCCAAGATTCTTAGTAATAATGTGAGATTGGAGATTGGCGGAAAAGAGGTGATCCTGTCATTAACTCCTTTTTTATTGTGATCAAATTTTAATTTAAGTGTAATTATTTGCAGTTGTACAGGTTCCAGTTGGCCTTGTAATTTCCTCCATTTTAAACCCCACACCTCCCACCCTGAAACTCCCAACTGATGGACATCTACAGAAAACATATGTACACACACATACATACACATATAGAAGACACACACATATATTATGTATATGTTTTCGTTGTGGATGCAGTGTTCGTTCACACTAATCCGACTGAAAACGGCTCCAGAGACAGAACGATCTGGTGCCGCCAGCTCCTACAAATTCATTTGAGTACGAATCTGATTCGGCACTGTGTGGACGCCCGAAAACACTGATACGCTGATGTAGTTCTATGCGCCTTTAAAGTAGCTAATTCAGCCCCAAAACGCTGAAGAGGCTAGAATATATGTCCATTCATATATACGGTCTATGTGTATGATCGTATGCATAGACCGTATAATTTCTGAAAAGTTTAACATGAACCATCTCCAACACAGTAGAAGAACAGAACAAACTCACCATCAGCAGAACATCCCTGTGTCACAGAAAGAACACATATAATCCATTGAGTCGTGTCCTTTAGTCTGACAGAACCTTAACCGCACCAACGCACAATAGTGAGCTGTTTTTTTAGCACTTAGTTTGTGCAAATGAGCCATGTGGTTTGAAGTTTTGTTTCTATAAAACGTACACAAATCTGCTCAAAGCTGTGTGGATAGGGAAGACTTGCGGACACAGAAATGAGTCAGTCCTCTGAGCCGCCATGCTCGACTTAAAATCCAGTGTTACGCTAAGTAACACCTGAAACTCGTCGTCGGTCCATGACGCTTACACTTGCCATCTCCCTCGGCTCAAAATCAACTGCTGCAACTTCAGACTTCCTTGTTTTTACCGTAGCCAGCCGTTTCAGGTGGTTTTGTGTTACTGTGTGGACAGAGAACGCTTTGATTGCGAATACAGAAACGACGTGTCTGGATGCAGATTGTTTCCGATAAGCTGATACAGTGATACATGGATCCGTTTGAGTGTAAACGGGGTCTAAGAGTATACATATTGTGTCATTCTATGAAAATACACTATAATAAAAGGTCTCCAAATAACAACAATACATTCAGACTCAATTTGATCAATAGACTTTAACTTCTTTAACTTCTGTATTAGTTACGACCCAAGAAAATGCTTTGTGAAATAAATAGACTACATTTTACTGTCTCAATTATTTTCTAGTGTAGCAGCTTTAATCATACAATAGATCAGACTCTGGCCCGGGGGCCAGATTTGGCCCACGATATAATTATATTTGGCTGACGAGGTCATATCAAATCTGTATTAGAGCTGCCCGCCGGCTACAGATAAGCTGTAGAGTCATTATTTATTTAAAGTTTTGTTATTATTTTATATTCTGCTTGTTCTGGATTCAATGTTTAAGCCAAACTATTATTAAACATTTATTTTAATAAGAAAAGGTTTAACATTACTTATCTTGAAAGAAGAGAAAACATGCAGATGTTGTTGACATTTTTCAAGTTTAGTTAGTTTGGCCCACGACTTAGTCCCAGTTTTTAATTTTGGCCTCTGTGAATTTGAGTTTAAGGCCCCTGTAACAGATAATGTAAAGAGTATTTCATATACACATACATTCAAATCAGGTACAGGCCCTATTAACTTGTTTTTACACTTTTCTTGATAAAAGTTATAACATGTAATTTTGCCAGAACAGTGATCTGTACCACAAACACAGCACACAAGATAAATAGTTATGTGTATTTAAAGTTGAATATTTGTTTGTTTGAAAGAAAGAATTACTCGATATTCTTAACAGAAGTGATGCAAATGATTTTGTACAGAAAAGTGAAAAGTGCAGTCCAGAAGGTCTTCACTTAGTATGTATGACATGTCTCTGTTTTAACAAAGTTTTGAATTACCATAATAGCCTTTACACCTTATCTCCAGTACTATATGATGATAAGGGTGTTCAGATAAAGTCAGTCAGTCTTGTGCTGCATACAGAGCAGTACAGAGCAGATGGAACACACAACAGGCCTGTATGCATTTACAGTACAGTACAGTGCTGCTTGCTCTTTATTTATCTCTGCTGTCTTCAGTGCTTTGTAAGTTTGTCCTGGCACATCTGTCTGTCACTGTGCAGCTGTTCAAAGGGAAGTTCTTCCACTGCGAGGGCCGGGACCTCAGCAACATCACCAACAAGACCCAGTGTCTGGAGGCAGGGTACCGCTGGGTTCGCCGCAAGTACAACTTCGACAACTTAGGACAGGTGAGTGACAGGTTCAGTGTGTTCACATTGATTACATTTTTATACGTACAATTTTAGTAGTGTACATTCACTGGCAGTGTACATAAACAACCAAATAAATTGAAATTTGGTGACTGAATGTGAATCATCTTTGAAATATTTCTTTTCTGTTTTGACATTTTGATTTAATAATGCCAGTGTCTTTGTTATAAAATGTAGTTTTATTGTCTTTCAGAGTTTGTATTGTCTAGATCAGTGTTTCCCAAACTTTTTTTCTGGGGACCCATATTTTAAAAGTCACAAACCTTCGTAACCCAAGTCAATAGACATTATTCATAAACCGCAAAATAAAGGTGGATCTTTGACCATTGTTAAACATTAATGAAGATATTTTATTTTTGACTGAGTAGAGCTGGGTAACATTAAGAAGTTGCCAATATGATACATACCTCGATACATAGGCCACAATACGATACATACCTCAAGTACTGTGCATTTTTGATTCAGTGCAATATATTTCAAAATGATTTGATACAGTTCAATAAAAAAATAAAGGTTAAATCATGGCTGTGATTCTAAAAGTCTTTGTTAAACCACTTCTTGTGCAAAGTTCATATGAAACACAAACATTTTAATCATCAAAACAGTGAAAATATAAAATGTGTCACATAAACAGGTTTCCTTTCTCTAAACAAACAATGAAACTGTAGCGCTGTAACCAAATAATACAGTAAAATTTTGTGAAATATACCAAAACATACTCTTGGCGATATATAGATACAGCAGCCCACGATATCGATACTGTATCATCACATTAAACGATATTTAGATATTTTTGCACACCCCTATGACTGAGTGATCGTGTCTCTCTGAACAGTTAGTATTACCGTATTTTCCGGGCTATTAGACGCGCTCTTAAGCCTCTAACTCCATCAAAAACGACTGCGCGCGACACAATCCAGAGCGCCCTATACACGAATCCACTCAGGTGTCCCAGCATGACTTCAGTAAACTACAAAGCAGCACCACCAGCAGTGCACGCAAACAAGCACGGAGCAGACAACGACCGTGCAGCGAAACACACCCACAGCCACACTCACCACTCCACGCCGACGAGGAACAGAACAGAGGAACGAACCGAAAAAGTGAGTGCAATGTGCCACTTCTAGACACGACTGAACAACTGAGTCACTGCGAAAACGCCGACAATCCGTTGGTCCCAGACAGCACCCTCCCTGCACGCCACAACTGAACAAAGCCCAGAGTCACCGTGAACGCCACAAACAAACAAAACCACTCACCCATCACACTGTGAAGAGAGTTCGAAAATAGGCCATTCAGTGACAGTGTGCCTTATAATCCAGACCGGCCAATAGTGCGGAAAATACGGTTCTCAAGTTTTAAATGATGAAAATTGAACCAGAAATAAAAGGATCCATAAGTCGCTTATTTGGACAGTAAATGTAGAACATTTCTGTTTCTTTTCAACATTCAATTGAACCAGCAACATTGAAACAAAACAGTCAATAAAATAAGGATAAAAAGATTAGAAATTATACAAAACATGTCTTAATATTTCAACCTACATGCAGATCGTGATAAGGCGACCCAAAAAAAATCTCAGCAACCCAGTCTTTGGGAAACAATGGTGTAGAAACTGATCGCAATTATCAAATATACCTATATTTAGTCAATCACAAGTAGTTGATTTATCATCATCCTAATTCCAAATATTCCGTAAAATTCAAACTCTCTTCATGGATCAAAGTAAATGTTAGTCTACATGATCTTTGTGCTTGTTAATTCTGCTTTTTAACATGCCGCTGCAAACAGAAAAGTGTCTAAGGAAATTCTGCTGTAGTTCATGATGAGACTTAATAAGGGGTTATTATCAAAAGGGATTATTTGAGAAATATAAATTGAGCTATTGACTATTTATATCATTATAAAAACAAATTCCACTACAACAATGTTTGGACAATCAGAATTTACAGCACTAGTCAAATATTTGGACACTTCCTCATTCAAAGTGTGTCTTAGAATATTCAGTATGTTATCATTATTTTAAAATTTGAATTGAATTTGAATTTATATCGAGGAGCATGGCGCCAGGGGCCTCCAAATCTCCATGAGTCACTAGAGTTTCGTTGTCTTTTTGAGATCAGAAAGTCTCCAAAATTACAAGAAAAAATAATCTACATTAGCATAAAACTTTCCCTGAAGTCAATATTAGTCCAGTGTAACTACATTACATGAGCCGGAGGAAGCAGTTCGACTTCTCTTACATAAGCAGAGATGATTTATGTCTGCGGACAGTAGCACAAAGACACTGGAGTCCCTTCCATCTGAGACTGACAGCTGCTCTTAAACCTGACTGATGTCTCTTCTGTCTTTAATAACTGTCCGTCCCGCAGGCCCTCATGTCCCTTTTCGTCCTGTCGTGCAAAGACGGCTGGGTCAGCATCATGTATGACGGGCTGGACGCGGTCGGGGTAGACCTGCAAGTGAGCGCACACACTCCACTACACACACACACACACACACACACACACACTACACACACACACACACACACACACACACACACACACACACACACACACACACACACACACACACACACAGAGGGCAGGGTGAGTAATACCACAATGAGACGAGATGAGACATTGAGCATTCAGCGCTGGGTGGACTTCATGTCTCCAAATTATCCTTCTGTTTGGTGTCAGCCGGGTGCATTTGATCAGCAGCATAATATTAGGACACAGGTAACTGAAAAAAGATGAATTTCACACAGTTTTATGTCTTAGAATGTTCTAGGACACCAGCACTATTTATGGAAAAGGTGACACTTGGTAAGAATGTTGAATACAATATTTTCATCACTTAAGCAACAAAAATCCAACTTATATCAATATCAAAACATATTATTATTATTAAATTATAGAATAAGTGGCAATGTCAAGCTAAATTAAAAACAAGATAAGATCATACAGATAACTGGACTTAGAAATAGTAATATTGTTTTCAACATACTGTAATAAATTTTCCCCCCCTGGATATAACAATAGGTGTCATTGTTTTTTTTTATTTTAAAGAGGGGGTATTATGCAAAACTAGGTTTTTGGAGCTTTCTACCATGTAATACCATACCATGAATCTGTATTTATCAAGCACTCAGAAAAGAACTATACAAAAAGCATAAAAATCACATACATAAAGCACAAAAACAATGATGCAACAAAACATCCATCCATTCATGTTTGATCTGTTCATTCCCCCGCTCTATTCGGACCCTCCTTACAGTTGGCAGTACGAGACCCACACAGCAATTTTTCATAAAGCAGGATATGAAACAATACACTACATGGTGTAAGGCAAGGCAAGTTTATTTGTTTAGCACAATTCATACACAGAGTCAATCAACATGCTTTACAGAATAAGAAATACATTAAAATCACAATAAAAAAAACTAATCAAAACATAAATAATCATCATAAAATTAAAATAAAAAAAGAGAGAGACATTAAATTAGAGAAAAGAGTGCAGAATGAAAAATAAAAACCTTTCAGTCGTACGCAGCTAAACAGAACTGTTCTGAGCCTGGATTTAAACAGTCAAAGTAGAAACCTGAGTGAAGTGAATATAACATTTAAAACCATAAAAGGTAACATGGTGGTCTAAATAAAATGATATGTTAACAGTGAACAGAAGTGTAGTACCCCTCCTTTAACCTTGTCAGCTTCAAGGCAGAATTGTTCATACTTGCCCAAATATATATTGTTTTTTTTTTACATTTATAAGAAAATTAGGGACTTTTTTTTTTGCTTACTATTCACTGCTCTGATTTACAAAGTGCAGTTTACAAATATTTGTTTTATGTTTTTTTGTTTTGTTATTTAATGATAATTTATCATAGGTGACCATGTGCAAAGTATAGATTTTTGCGATATCGACTGATGCGATTCCCAGGCTTAGTGCTTGTTCGGCAGTGTTGGAAGTATGAGTAATCTAACAGCATCTAGACCAGATAAAGCACTGCACACTGAGCTGTGTAGACTGTCTGTATATGTGCGAGCTGGAGCTCTGTTTGGTGTCAGCGGCTTCACTTGATTCTTTTGTTTCTAAAAAAGACCACTGCGAGGATAAGACAGCTTTAAGAAGAGGAAAAGCTAGAGGAATAATAGATTTGAGTTGACAGTGCTGACTCAGGACTTACATTGTTGTGTTGTTTCTCTCTCTTCTCCTCTCTGTCTTTTGTCATCCATCTTGTTTTTTTTTTTTTTTGTCCCAATGCTACCTGGTATTTCTCTTCTTCGCTTTCAGCCCATAAGGAACCATAACCCCTGGATGCTGCTGTTCTTCATCTCCTTCCTCCTCATCGTCAGCTTCTTCGTGCTCAACATGTTCGTGGGCGTGGTGGTGGAGAACTTCCACAAGTGCCGGCAGCAGCAGGAGGAGGAGGAGGCCCGGATCAGGGAGGAGAAGAGGCAGAAGCGGTTGGAGAAGAGAAGGAGAAGTAAGAGCCTGCTGGACACATCAAATACACACCAGTCTAGTTGGGTTGGATAGAATAATAGAATAGTCCCAAGTTAGTTTCCCATGTTGGGCTGGAATTTAAAGGGCCAATATTACACTATTTTCTGGTCTATGTTATAATGTGTTTCCTTCTCACATGTTTAACTCTGCATATTTATCCTGAGTTCTTAGTCCAGTGAGGTTCTGACAGTTTATGTTTTTAGGTTCTTTTTGAGACCAAGTGTTTGTTTTCATACTGACAGTTTGGGCTGCTCACTGCGGTCTTCCTTAGACCTGTAATGATAAAAGGTTTTGCTGGACGATTAAGAAATTATTGTCATTTGCTTGTTTGCGGGCTTGCTGCATTTGTCGCATGCGGACCACTGAGACATATCCCACTCACTAGTGTTGGTATTTGGTATCATGACTTGTTTTGTCACACGACGATGAACTGTTTGATGCTCTGACAGCGGTGCTAGTCAAAGAGAGAGATAGAAGCCTTTTGACATTCAGTCTCTTTCGTAGAGAGCGAGCGAGACGAGGAAAACAAACAAGCATGCAAATAGAAATGATCAGGGGCAGTTATCGGGTTTGTTAAAAGTTATCATACAAATAATTGATTTATTGGTTATCATTACAGGTTTAGTCTTCTTCAGAATGGTCATGTGATGTTGCTGTGACGTGTCCGGTCAGTTGATTTAAACAGGTTTTGGTGCTGTCTTCCTACCGGAGGAGGCAGGACGACAGCGCCATCTGCAGTCCCACTTCCTGTAATGTTATACGAAATACCCTGCATGTCCTGCAATAAAACACAATCAAACACAATCAGGGAAAGAGGAAGGGCGTTCAGTACACGGAAAAAGGTACATAGGACAGAATGCGAGAAGGAAACAGCGAAACTCAAATTGGCCATTTCTGACCATTGTAAAAGAGAGAACCACGTTATGGACTGGGACGGAGCAAACATCATTCGGACAGAGGAAAACAAACACCGTCGCTGGATTAAAGAAACAGTTGAAATACGGAAAAGTGCCCACGGGACGATAAACCGGGATGAGGGGCTTTTTTACTCTCACACACCTGGGACACTGTCCTGAGGAAGACAGACTGCAGATGGCGCTGTCGTCCTGCCTCCACCACAGCGCCAAAACCTGTTTAAATCAGCTGAGCGACATGTCACAGCAACATCACGTGACCACTCTGAAGAAGAGCACTAGTGAGGAGCACTGTTGGACAAGTGACTTTAAAAATGTAATGTGTTATTTATGACTTGTTACTGTCATTTCAAAGTCATTTGTTACATTACAATATTACTGCATTTAAAAAGGAAGACATTACATTACTATTGCATTACTTTAAGTTACTCTCACCAAAATAACTGCGAAGATGCTGAACTTTTGCTCTGTATATGGACTGAACCAGGACTAAACCAGAACTGAACCAGAACTGAACCAGGACTGAAACAGGATTAACCAGGACTGAACCAGGACTAAACCAGGTCTAATTTAGAAATGACCCAGGTCTAAACCAGGTCTAAACAAGGACTAAACCTGGACTAAACCAGGACTAAACCAAGACCAAACCAGGACTAATCTTGGACTAGAATTTGGAATCTCAGACTGCCTCCTGAGAGAGCTCCGGTCCCGTGGAACAGGGTGTGTATAAAGCGCGATCGGGCGTCAGCTGCAGTTCGCCCCGTGGAGCACTGAGTTCTGCGCTGGTCCTTTCGCCCGCGGTCACCTGACAGTGTATGTGGGCGCTTGTCCGGCATTTCACTGCTGCTGATATCTCGGTGATTTTAGCAAATTTGTATGAAGAAAAACCCACCACTTCAATCCAGGTTAAAAAAGCATTGTCACGAGTAAAATATTACCATTTTTTTCCCTGTAATGCCGAACATTACTGCGTTACAGCAAAAAGCAACGCATTAGAGTAATCCATTACTTTTATAAAATGTTACTCCCAACACTGGTGAGCAGTCGAAACTGTCAGGTATGAAAACAAACTCTTGGTCTGAAAAAAAATCTAATAATATAGCCTGAGTTCTTCTCTGAAACAGAAAACACTCTGTTCCATCTTGTGATGTCATGTGGTAATACTGGAAAAGGTTCACTCCGCACACCTTCACTGGAATCATTTGGATAAATCCAGCCCTGGAATTGCCAATCTCTACCAAACAAAGGGTAAAAAGTAGCTTGAAACTTCATGACATCACAAGGTGGAACAGAGCATTCTGAGTTTTGGTGTGGTAGAGCAAATCCAGTGTTACTCAAACATGTGTGAACGAAACAAAATATAACTCTAGGTCTGTTTTTTGATGAGGTAACAACATTCTAACATGGGTTAAAACTCACAAGAGACAGTTTTGCATTTGACAGGTTTTCGTTTTTAATTCTAATTTAGGTTGGTAGATAGTTCCTGTGGTAAATATTTATCATAGTTTTACATTAGTGAAGTGGAAAAAAATGGAATAAAAGTACAAAAACACAGGAAGTAGCACTGAGATCTAAAACAGAATCCCTCTAACTGTGTCACCAACACGGAAAACTCCATCCAAAATGCAGGGACGATTTACAAGCAAGAGCTGTAATTTTCTCACAGTTTAAACATTTATTTTGCAAAATACCCAACCAGGAACTTCTCCAAAAATTCTCAAATTGGGAAACACGAGGTAAAAGCTTACATGTGATTTTAAATATAATCACGTTGACGACATTTTAGTTAATTTTGAAGTCTAACTTGTCATCTACACTTTCAATTCTAATACAGGTCATAGACACAGGGGGAGATCTGTCTGAGATGGTGGTCTTGGGTATAAACCACTGATATTTGGGCCATTACAAACTGAAAATGAATATTATTTAAACTGAAAGCATAACAGAAACAAGATTACAGACTGAAAGAGTTAACTATAAAAACTGGATTTTGAAAGCTTTGAAAAGGAACTGAATTCACTCGTACACTTTCTTATACAGTTTCTAGTTCAGTTCAACAATTCCAGCTCAAATTCACTTTTATAATTTCAGTTTAGATTAATTTCCAAATTTCAGTCCATTTTCAGTCATTCATTATTATTTCTGAGCTATTGAAGAGCTACAAGACAAGCAGTTGTTCCATTTATACTAGTGCGATACTTGAAATTCATACAAGTAAGTACCGTATTTTCCGGGCTATAGGGCACGCTCTTAAGTCTTTAACCTCATCAAAAAACGACCGCACGCCCCGCAATCCAGAGCGCCCTATACACGAATCCACTCGGGTGTCCCAACACGACTTGAGTAAACTACACAGCCGCTCCACCCACAGAACACACAAACACACACGAAGCAGACGAACGCAGCGAAAAACACCCACAGACACACTCATCACTCCACGCCGACAAGGAACAGAACAGAGGAACGAACCGAAAAAGCGAGTGCAATGTGCCACTTCTAGACACAACTGAACAACTGAGTCACTGCAAACACGCCGACAATCCGTTGGTCCCAGACAGCACCCTCCCTACACGCCACAACTGAACAAAGCCCAGAGTCACCGTGAACGCCACAAACAAACAAAACCACTCACCCATCACACTGTTGTGTTTCCTTTAAAGTCCAGTGTGGTTTATTTTTGAAAAAAGTTCCAAAATAGACCATTTAATGACAGTGCCTCTTATAATCCAGAGCGACTAATAGTGCGGAAAATACAGTAAGTAAGTAAGTAAATCTTTATTTATATAGCACCTTTCACAGATTTAAAAAAATCACAAAGTGCTTTACAGAGAAAAAAAATAACATAAAAACAACATAAACAAGAACAGAGGAATTACAGACACAGTCAACTAAAAGTCTGTCTAAATAGCAGTGTCTTGAGCTGCTTTTTAAGAGTCTATAGAGTCTGCCTGTAAAGATAACAGATTTTGCTGGACGATTAATTGACCAAGAATTTATTGTGATAAACGATAATATTGACATTTTGAGACCAATTTCAACTGATATAAAGACCATGGAATAAAAATGCAAATACATCCTCTCAATGATCAATACACCTTACTTTGTAAATAACATTTAACACGGAAACTGTAAGACCTAAATAAAACAGACTTGTTAACATAAGAACAGCCTAATGTGTCTGGCTCACAGCAAGGACTTGTTCACAAAAATGCACTTGAATAAACCACTGCTGAACCAAATACAACCAAAGCATAAAATAAAATGGATTATTAAATCTCTGTAACAAAATTGCTCTTAAAAGTGATTTTAGTCATTGATTTACATTGAAATATTGTGTCTTGTCTCTCTGTGGCTGCTGCTGTGGCCTCGTCATTTTGGTCTTGAAGTGTTTGTATGAACCCGCGACACAAGATCCTATTTATTTCACTATGAGGGAGTCTCTGTTTTGTCTATATCGTGTGGTTTCTTGTGGGATTTTGGACTCTCCTGGGGGCGGGGCTAGTGGTCGTCGTTTTGCTCGGGTTTGCAGGTTTGCATTTAGTCACACTTGTTGGATGGTTTGAGCACATTTTTTAAACTCGTCTGTTTGTGAGGCACTTTCAGGCTGCTTAGATAGACTTTGGGACCATTTCAGTAGACCAGCAGGCCTTTTAAAACAGGCTCTGTAAAACTCTGAAGCAAGTTCAAAAACAAGTAAAAAAAAAAAGAATTACAGTAATCTAAATGAGATGAAATAAAAGTGTGAACAGTCATTTCAAGATCAGCATTTAGTTTAGTGATGTTCCAAAGCTGATAAAAACAGCTTTTAACCATGTACAAAACTCTACTCTTCTCATTCCTGAAGGATTGAAATAAATATCTGATTATTGCTATCGTGAGAATCAGGCAAATATTGAGATATTTCATGTAGTCTTTACCGCACTCCCAAACTGACTCTGGTGCGGTCGGCTTGTAGTGGGAATATTACCAGACCAATTTTAGACAACATGGCCCTTTTTTTGGACTTAATGAGCCACTGTAGCTCCAGAGCACCCCTCAGTAATGGCCACAGCACTGAGCGATGGAC